AGAGCTGGGAAAATAATACTTTCATTTCCTTTAACTAGTTTCAAATGAAGCAACATTCTGGACAGACTCCTGTCTTGTTTTTTTCACGTGTCCTTACAAAGCCGTATTTGGGAGGATTGTGTTGTGGTTTTGCTTGTAACGTTCCCATGCTGTTGTTGTAATATAGTCTGACTTGCTAGAAAGGACAACAGTGGAATTTTACTGCTGCTGAGTTTGGGATGTGCATACCCATGCCAGCACAGTTAGCTTTGGTTTTTGAACACTGTAAAATGGAAATTTTTCTTTTCTTACAAACAAATGGGTTTAGACCTAAGTTCCCTACTTACTTTACCCATCTATTGGAGATGGTAGAGCTTTCTAAAATTTAGTTCTAATCTCTGTTGCCTGCAAGCACTTTAAGGTATTTTTCCATGGTGTTCTTTAGCTTGATGGAGCTATAGGCAAATAATGTTGCTGTGATGGACTTCTGTCTCTCATTAGGACCTGTTACTGTGCTCCCTTCTGCAATACTGTTGGCTTAAGAGGATCTAATAGATCCTTGCGGTAGATCCTGGTGGGCAGTGCTGGAAGTGCCTATATGGGTCATGTTATGAGAACAACAGATTGTTCACTGAAAGAAACTGTCGCTTGGATCTTTCCAAACTCAGAGTAGTCTTCTAGTCCATGAAGTTCATGTCTGTCTTCCTTTGTTCTTTTTATGGCTTGCACTTACAATTCCTACTTTGGGCAGCCGTTTTTTTTCTTGGGGTTGCCGATGTTCCGACGTACAAATACACTCTTCCAAATTCCAAAATGGGCACCTGCCTGGGATCTTGGAGCCAGACTGCCTTTTCTGTTTCTCGTGCATGAAGCTGTTAATTCCGCTAGTTCTTTGTGCTGTTGCTTTCTGAAGTAACTAATCAGTCGCTAAAACAGTCGCCCAAAAGGCATTTCTCCTCTGGAAACTGCTGATATGCCATAATACCGTGTCTCTCTGCAAGCTGCATGGCCGGTGCTTGGAGCCTGGTGCAAGTGCAGCTGTGTCACTGTGCTGTGGAGTCTGGCAGTAAAAGGCTTTTTCTTAAAGCTGCTGTGTTAAAATCAGGTTTCAGTATAAACAAACTGAGAAACTTGATCAATTTTATAGTTTCAGAATAAAATCCTACAGCAATCTGGTTTAACCCAAACGTAGGGGGAACTTATTGCTTTCAGTTATGCTTTTGCTTTGAGATTTTGGGATTGATGAATCCAAAAATTTTACACCAGGTAAGTTTGCTTGCAACTTTGTCAAGTAAAAGCTCAGAGTTCCTTAGCCACCATGTCCATGCCTGTGTATGTGATCTCAAATACAAATGCAGAAACACTGGAGATTTTAATTTGTCATAGATAGTATCTTGCTGATTATATCTCATTGTGAAAATAATGGCTTTATCTAGAAAATCTTGTTTTCTTTCATTTTTTTTCTGGAAATGCTACTGTATTTGGTGGTCTCTGGTTTCTGGTAACATCTGTTTGAGTCTGGATACTTACTTTTCACCTGTCTTTGGTCTCTTTAGCAGGTGGTGCAATCTCAGAATTGTTATGAAGACACTCTTCTTTATCTTCCTGTATTCTTTCCTATATTGGCACCATAATGTGGAAAATAGATGAAATGCTCAGTCAGTGTGGACTGACTAATACAGCAGACTGATTGTTCGTGGATTCAGGGAGTGACTTTTGTAAGAAATGAATATGGAAGAGGAAACGGCCTTCATTCCTCCTTAACTGCCTCTTCATCGAACAGTGTAAGATGCTGACTCTCAGGTCATGAGATTTGCAAAGAGACTAAGTGGACTGCCTTTGTGGTGACATATATAATATTTCTAAAGTGAGCTGGTACCCAACACTCTGCCACTCCAGAGCTTATCGGCCATTGTCTTCAAAATACTTTTTTTCGTTCCTGAATTGAAGAATACCCAAAGTGTGTATTTTTATTTCTGATGCCATATGACTGTGTATCCTGCAAACTTCCCTTTCTTTGCTGTTAATTCTAATTTCAGTGAGTTGTAAGTCCTTCTGTGACAGCTGCATTACCTTATCAGCTTTTCTGTTAGCTCAGTGTGATGTCTTCTGTGCTGACATGCGTAGTGAAACACTGCTGCTGATTATGTGCCAGGTTTGATTTAATCTCAAGTGGATGGAGATCCACTGTGAAGAATCAAGACACCCTCTGAAGTCTGCAAAGAATGAATCTTCATATTGTGAATTTTAGATATGAAGGATGACTCTGCTTATGGGAGAAGGAACAAGTGAAAGTAGCTCTAGATAAAAGATTCAGTTTATATGCTTTCTTCTAGCCTGTGATATGAAGAGCTGTGTTGGCAGTTTCTTTCTGTCCTTGCAAGTCTTTTTATTCTGTCCTTTTTTCCTGTGAGGTGCTCTACCAGAAACAATGGTCTTCCTCCTTAGCTGGTAGGTACTGGCAGTTCGAGAAAAAACAGAATCACTATTTCTCCGAACTGAAACAGTTTTTCAGGGTTTTTTTTCCTCACTTCTGAATCAAGAATGGAAGAAAGATGAATGCTAACAGCTCATTCACAACCATGCTTTAACCGTTTATTCCTCAAAGACAGTTGTAATAGCTTCCTTGTGGGAATGGGAAGAGACACTTTCTCTGTCCAATACCTACAGCCTGACACCTCTCTGTGCTAGACAAACTGCCTGTTAAAAGAAAGTTTTCATTCCTAGTGCCACTCATTTTATAGACTTTTATAGTTCCTATGCTGTTACTTTCTGGTTTTCCCCAGATGTGATAATTGAGATTATCAGTACGTATTTAAATTTTCAAAGTATCCCGCAGACATTAAAAACCAGGAATAGGAGTCGTAAAGAGATTCATTAATTTGCGGTTGGAAATATGCAGTACTTACATGAGATATAAGCACGGGAAGAGAGGAGACATTTTAAATCAGAAGGTTTTTTTAAAACTGGTATTTTCATTTCCGGCTTTGGTACAGTGGCCCGCTTCATTTAATGAAATTCATTCCCATGCGTACAGTATTAGTTTTCTGTGTTCTTTCTGCTTGTAGGATGACTCGCATCTTTCCTGGAACACTGTTATGTGAAATCCACCCGTATGTGGTGTGGTGTGGTGTGGCTGACCCTGCAAGCTTTAAAGGATGTACAGGCAATGGTTCTCTAGATTATTTTAAAGCAGATGATTTGCCACAGACACCAGCCTTCGTTTCTGTTAAAACTCTGTACAGTGTATATGTCCTTGGTTTATTTTCTTCCATCTCTTATTTTATTTTTTGGTATCTGTAGTTTTGTACAATATTTGTCAGATACTGGCTTGATGGTAGTATATATCAGTGATGTTAGTTTTTGTGTTTGTAAATAAAGAGGTATGTTTTATTTCTTAAAGTCAATGGGTAAGTCTCGGCTTTTCCATACAACCATGATTGTTTATGTTGTGACAGTGTTTAGGAACCCTGCAATAGAGCTCCACTACAAGCACAAACATACTGTACCTTCACCACAGCGGGGGTGGTGGTGTTTGGTTGGTTGTTTTTTTTGGGGAGGCATTTAGTGGCTGATCTCTTTCAAGAGAGAGGAGTAAATCTGTAGTCTAATAAAAGCCCAGTACACCTGAGTGCAGCCTTGGCACTTGGAGACAGACATGCAAAAAGAGAGCTGAACACAAAGCCTGCTGCGTGTAGAGAACACCTCCAGGGAAATAGAATATGGAAAATACATATAGTAAATCTTCAGAAGTCTTTTAATAAATTAAGGAGTGCTAGGAAGAGAATTATGGATCTTCATTAGCTGTTGAAGAACATGGCAATCCAAATCTTTTCTGCAGTTGATAATTGGGTTGCTGGTAAGGAGACACTGATTATTGAACTACCTTAACCACAGTTCAGTTACTCCGTCAAAAATAAGTAACTTTGATTTTTTCTTTTTCATGAACAACTTTAGCAGTGCATTATTCTTTTGGGACACTTGAGCACTAAGTGAATTATTCTGGGTGTACGAGTGGTTTCTGTTTCACAGATGCATCAATTGACTGTGGAGATTTTGGCTCAGGTCTCTCTCCGGAGTCGGTGGCTGTGAGTGACGCAGAGCACGGCGCTCCGGCTCGCAGCTCCTCTGAGCGGCGCCGGGGGGCCAGTGCTGCGCAGTCCCTCCCGAGTCTGAGAGTGGGTGTTGAGCCCAATACGATGCTTTTATGCTGAGTCCTCATCGCGGAGGACTCGCTTTGGCTTCAGACTTAGGGGAGTTCTTTGTTGCCCCTTGGAAGGTTTGGGGGGCCAGACTGTGACATCGGCACTGCTTCCTAGGGAACGCCGGCTCGCAGGGCTGCGAGTGACTTCACGGAGCCCAGCATACGGATGGATAGAGTTTGTGACAAAATACTGTTCAGATCGCCTCTGATTTCAGTGCCATCAGACTATCTAGAGGTTGAAATGTTGTTTTCATGACCTGGGTAATTTGCCGAGTACTTTAGATTTTGGGATAGGCGTCTGTAAGATGGAACTGTACAGGTGCTGCACGAGGAATCAGGATTTCTTTATGCTCAGCAGCACTATTTTAAGGGTTCCAGTATTGATTGCTTACATTGTTTTATAATTTAGTGAGAAAATTAAACTGGAACAGTACTACTTTACAGTGGAAATTCATCTAAAATAGTATGTAAAATCTTATGGAGAAGGGAGGACTTAATCTTCTTTAAATTGGCAAATATATTCAAATTACTGGAATATAATGGATTGAAACATACTGCTGTCCTGTTACAACAACTGGCATTCACGATTCACATTCTGACTGATATAGTAATGATTTGCATCTTTTTTTAGTAGTGTTGTACTTCAAGCCTGCCTTGTTGGAGGATTTTACCTAATGGAAGGATTAGGTCTTGAAGATGATGCTGATGGGATTGCGGAAATACTGTTTGAAGATTAACAGAGAATGATTTTGTGGTGTTTCTGACTACTGAATCTGCGCGGCTTTAGAAAGTAGCATGTCTGATTGGTAACCCCAGTATGAAATACTTGGGGAACAGCCACATCCTTGGGATATTACCTTGTGCTTTCTATCTGCCGTTGGTAGTTCCCATTCAAAAATTTACCATCCCAGCCCACCTGAAGTCAGCTGTCGTGAAAATTGTAGTCAACGCCACATCCTGCAGCGTCACCTGTGGGCTGGGCTTCAAAGTGGAGGAGATGTGCGAGGTCACGGCTGACGGAGAGAAGAGGAATTGTACCTTGCGCAGGTCCGACTGCCTGACCACCTGGGTCTGTGGCTTACTCCACTTCACCGTCCCTGTGGGCAAACCCTTCCAGTTCAGCTGCCTGGCCGCGGGCACGATCGGCCTTGGTAGCCGAGCCTATAGCTATACGTGGAGGCTCGCCCAGGGCCTTATCACCGTAAATGATGTCCTGTTCAAACCTTTCGAAAACCCCGATTCCGTCGTCAGATTTTCCCCTACCACCGAGTCTGACGCAGGGACTTACCGATGCGATGTGCAGATGTTGAAGACGTTCAGAATCATCAAGAGGGTCTACTTTGGGGTCACGGTGATCCAAAATGACTTAGTGGATCTGAACTTTCAGAAATTCTTGACTTGGGAACAGAAGTTAGCAGCAGACAGCGAGGAAGGAAGAAGCGCAGAAAACAGCACCGAGGAAGAAGTGCAAACACAGCAGTACTTTTGTCAAGGAGAAATGTTTTACGAATGCTTGATAGGAGCTGGAAGCGGAGTGATAGGGGCTGTCTTGGTGAGCATGGCGTTCTGCTGCTTGCAGAAGATTTTGAGAAGAGCTGCGAAATAACGACCTGAGATTTAATGCAATTTCTTGTCTCTGTCTCTTTATTAGTGTTGATGCAGTATTTCATAGCGGTGCTTGTAAATCTTTTTTTCTGGCTGACACAGTTTATTACCAAATATTTTCTTAAGCTTTGGAGTCTGGTAAGTTAGTACAGGGCTGCAGAACCAGAGCTCGAGTCTTAATGGAGTAGTGCAGAAAGTAGCTCCAGATGGGGCAAGGCAGTTTGCCTCCGCATTGTGTGAAGGGATGGTCTGGAGTGGTCCAGGTGGGAGCTAGAGGACACTGAGCCACAGAAAACCGCCCACTGCTCGCTGCTGACTACCTGGCTGCGCTCCTCTAATAGGCCTTTAATTTACCTCTAGGTGTTTGGGTTTTTTTTTTTTAATTTCTCTAATAATTTGGCAATCCCTATTCCTGTCTTATTTCCTCCAATTTCTTCTGCCTTGCTGAGAACTCTGTGGTGATGCGAGCTGACACAGATCGCTGTTTGGTAGATGGTGTTTCCCCAGCAAGAGGTGTAAAGAAGTGAGGATGTTTTCGAGGTGGGTTTACAAACCAGATTTCCTGGCTGGCTGGTGTCCTTTCCATCGGATCCAGGTGGTCTGGGTTCAGTAGCTGTGGCAATGAGGGGCAGACTACCACTGCCTGCTTCCTCCAGAGAAATTTATCTCCTTTCACTAGAGCCTGGAAAACTTTAAAAAAATCTTCAAGCGACAGCCTGGAGCTTGCCCTCTTCCCTTTGTAGTGCAGAATAGCGAAGCAGGGAGCATTGGGTAGCACAAGCAAATCTTCGGTTTGAGCGCTGCTGCTCAGGAACATAACTGGGTGTTTTTAATCATGACTCAGAGCTGAGCTCATTCTTTAAATCTTTAAAGGGGGAGGAAGGGAAAAGTTCAGTGGGCTTGTGGATCTTTCATTTTTCCTAGTGATTAATAAGTATAAAACATGCAGCGACTCTGTAGGGAGTACTGTTTTCCCCCTTGGTAGCAGAATTCACAGAGGGACCTATTAAATTCCTTCTCTTTTTACTTCCTGTCTCTTACTTTACAGTAAACAACTATACTTACTAAGTCTGTTTCCCTTTTTTTTTTTTTCTTTTTTCTTGTGAACTAAAGCACAGGAATGCACAGCACACCCAATTCTGGGGAAAATAATGATACAACTCTAATAGTAAAGATTGAAACATACTATTATTTTTTCTTTTTACCAGAACAAGAAAAAAGTGTTTTAATATAGAAAGAGTTGGATGTGGAAGTAAGTACCTTATTTGCAGAGAATCCTATACAAAAATATCAGACTGCAAATGTAGTGAGCCAAATCTTCAGGTGCAGGGAAGTAGGTAATGTCTATCACAGTGATCAGACAGTGATCTGTGGACCCTGGGGTTGTCTAGCTGTATCTGAGTGGAGAAGCCTGTTACCACGCTTGAATTCCCAGGGTGTAGTTCTGCTGATCTCCCTGTTTCTGTGGGGAGGCTTTAATAGGCACAGTAACCACCAGAAGTTTGGAAATGTTGTGAAGAACCATTCTGCGGTGCCAGAAGATGCCTTTGGGAAGAGGCACTGTCTCTTCCTGATGCCTGGGGCGACCCTCTGGGAAGGGACAGGAGAGTTGCTAAACCGTTGTGACAGACCACGAAGGACTGTATGTCCTTCTTCCATCTGGTGACCTGCTCCCACAGGTCAGATGCTCCTGAATGGTGACCCACTTGTCCAGGATTTTCTTGCTTCTGTTCTTCATCAGTTTCCCCTGACTCAGCTCCACAGTACTGAAGTTTCTCCTGTGCTCGGTGCTGGCTTTGTCTTCACTCAGCTGTTCCCCCTGGCTCTGCAATCCTTTTCTGTTTTTGTTCCTCGGCTCGGAGCATGTGTTGTTTTCTCTGAGCCTTATTCCAGTATTTCCCAGTCTTTATCTCACTGAGGACATCCTCATCTGCGGTCAGTCCACTTCGTTCTGCAATCCTCAAGGCCTTGTCCTTTAGCAGCCAGTTCTTGTGTCGCTTCTTCAAGGACCGCTTGCTCCTTTCTCATGCCAGCCTCCATCTGTTATCCCCTGCTCTGCCCTCTGGGCTTTCATTGCATCCCTTTGGTTTTGCTGACACACTAACCGGGTCGCTCAGACACTCCGCAGCGGCCCTTCCCTGCAGCAAACTCGTGTAGCTCCTGTAGTGACGTGCGTGGTGAGGAATCATAAACTGTTTTGAGCTGGCAGCAACGTGTGGTGGTGGGCACACGTCTGTGGCCTGTGCCGATGGTTTGTTCTTGCTGGTTTTAGTTCTGTCCCTGCTCGCTGCACTCTGCAGGCAGACTCCAGCCCAGTGCTGCAGCCCTGTCTCTCTCGGGGTGCTATTTTCACCAACCCAAAGGCACTCAGGGAGCCACTGGTTCTGTTTGCTTTGCTCGCAGCCCCCCTCTTGACCCATGAGGCATTTCTTGTGCCCTGGAAATTGGTCTGTATCGGCTGCATCTGCTTCCCATGAGTTCTTGAAATCTTCTGCACTTCTCTGTGCTTATGCTGTAGAAACTGGAATTGCTTAACTCATCACGGCTGGGGGAGTTGTCCGCAAGTTGTCCACTCCATGCAGATGTGCTGGCAGAGGGATCTGCACTGGGACCTTCCTGGCCACGGGCTGATGTTGCTTCTGCATCAGGGCCTGAATTCTCACCTGCCTGAGTGCTGGTGTCAGTAAAGCCCAGGCCACTGTCCCACTTGGGATGGAAAAATGCCTGCTTCTCCTCTGCCTTCACTGCTTTTGCTTTCTGCCTAAAAACAAACACCCACGAGCTGTTAGATATCTTTGGGCTATCCTCCCTGGCTGAGCATGAGTCATCTCTCTAAGCATCCTCCAACCATATGCAATGGCAAGATTTCTCTCTTGCCTTAAGCTTTCCCTGCTACTGCTGTAAGCACCCCGAGATGTGGCCTTACCAAGCTCCCAGAAACACTGGAAAGAGCTGCAGGGATGGAGTAACTGCTGCTGAAACTCAACTGATCTTGATGAACAAGGCCTAATGCCTGAAAGAGAAATATAATAAGAGCAGGAAACATTAAATCTGGTTTAGCAAGCCTGATGATATAAGGCCGATGTGACTGAAAAAGATTTTTGGAAGTTATGGAGGCAAAATAGGATGGGATACCCATAGTTCAACTCTTCCTGTGGCACAGGGTGCAAGAAGTGGGTAATTAGCTTCATTATTGCTTTTGCAATCCTGTGGCAGCAAGTCATCAAAGAAAGCCCTGTGAGGAAAGCAAACAGAAACACAGGTCCCTTCCCAGCCCAGTGAGAAGGACTGGCTCTGTGCTTTGGCATGCTGAGGGCTATATTTTTGTTCTTGCCTGAATGGCCAAACCAAAGGACCAGGGCTGATTTAGCACCTGTGTTAAGGTTAGTGGATGCAGTTGGTTAGAAATCCAGCTTTGAGAGGATGTTGGCTGACCTTGTGCTTGGCGTGCTATGCCATTGCTGCTTTTTAGGAGATGTTTCTTTACTTTGAGCAAAGTATGACGCGTTGTACATACCTGTCTAGGCAGAGATTTAAGTGCGATTTGCTGCAGTTCTCCTCCTTGTAGCGTTGCTCATTCCCTGCTCTAAAGTTGCAGCATTTGATGCTCAGGGAGGCTCACAGGCAGACCTTTGTCTGTGCACTTCCAGTGTAATCTGTTCCCCTGTGCTCCGGAGTATTTCCAGGACCTCCTGTAAGCTGTCTCTGGAGATCTCCTTTCCATTGACCTGGTTAGAAGGGGAGTGGATTGCAAAATAGTCCATTCATACTTACTAATCTCATGTTTTCTTAATTCAGAATTCCTTCGCCTCCCCAAAGATGGTAGCTCCACTACAGAATTAACTGCTCAGAGGCTCAGCAGTATCTCCCCAAATTGGGGAAAGATCCATGTAGGTAGGGCCCTTAATCGCTTCCTCATTCTGCTGCAGAAATGGGAGATGAAATCATATCTTTCTATCTCAAGTGTGCTTATAAGACCAATATGAAAATAAGTTACAGTGAACTCCATGCTTTGCATCAGTTTACTGTTAATCTGCCCTGTTGATACCTCTATTAGGTTATTTGGCTTTTTTTATCTTAAAACCTATTTCTAATCAATTTGAACAAAACCACATTAAGTCACTTCTAAGCAGGGTGAAACATGTTAACTCAGCCTTTTGCCCAGATTTAACCACCACAGTGAGTAAACTCCACATATATGAGCCCTAGATTTCTGTCCTGCAAAACTCTTCTCACCCCCAGGAAACTCTGTGAACTCCCACAGCCTGTGAAAAGCAGCAGCAGCACCACCATGCAGCGTGCACCCACGTTTCAGCCTCCTCGGGAGCCTCCTGCCTGCATTCAGCTGGGCCAGACCTCTCCTGCCCATGGTGTCTTTGTGGCACTGCCTGTAGCGCACATCCCAGTGTGTGCAAAGAGCAGCCACCCTTCTTAATAACACAGAAGCAAAAATACAGACAGCTAGTGAAAACTGAAATAGGCCCTTTCCACAAACCTGATTTACAGAGCTCTTTCTGCATCCTGAACATGAAGAAACGGGCAATCGAACTTTGTAAATGAGAGACACCCATCACAGGAGAGAGGAAGGTGCGTGCTGCTGACTGCTCTCCTGTCCATTTTGGGGACGAGACCTCCTCCGGTTGGGTTTGGGGCAGGCTGTGGGATCCCCTCCGTGCTGGAGAACTCTCTGAATAGCAGGAACAGATATATGCTTGGCTTGGAAGCTAATGGTTAAAATCAACAAAGAGAATCTGTCCCATCTGGAAGAGCCTCTCTGCTCTTTGTAATGTAAATGCAGGGGCTAGCATCCTGAGGGCAGCTGTGTTTTAGAAATGCAGAAAGATTACATGAAAGGTCCAGGACAATCCATTTTCTGACTACTTAGCTGAGGAGGTCAGAGTGGGAACCAAAAGGGTCCTTCATCTTTTTATTGTGTCTTCCCTTTTTTCCAAGGAGAGCCAGATGCCTGGAGAAGGAAAGATTTTTTTTTTTTTAATGCTT